AAATTTTGATTTTAATTTAATTAATAAGTCAAGTAAAATTTAGATTTTTAAATTATTTTTTGAAAACACAAGTTAAGAATGTAATTAATATATTATTTTATAATTAAAATATATAAAAAGTGTAAATATTAACTTTAATTTAATTAATATATTAATTAAAATCAAATACAAGATATATTAATTATATTTTGAATATGTGTTTTTATTGTACAAGTTAAATAAATTTATTAAAATTATTTATATAACAATAATATTAAAATATATGTTAATTATTGTATTTTTTTAATTATGAATTTAAGGACAATTTATGTGTTACATAAATATTACACTTAAAAAATAAAAAAAATAAAGAGAATTTTTGTGATATAATAAACAATTAAACTAAGGTTTTTTTTAATACGTACCATTAGAGTAAAGTTAAAGGTGCATTTATTGTATTTTTTTGTATTAATTAATGTAACAAAGTGAAAGTTTATATTGATTTTAATAATTGTCTAATTAAATTCAAAATATATAGAAAAATATAAAAGTTAAAATTAATTTTAGTTTTATTGTTAAATTGATGAATTTAATTGAATAATTAATAAATTAAATATCAACTTTAATTTTTTCAATATAAATTGATGATAAAAATATATATTAATTATACTTTAGAATACATTTTGTAAAATTTTTTCTTAATGAATAAGGTTCTATTTACACATAAATTTTACTCACCATATTTATATAAAATTTTAATTATTTATTTTTTTACTTTTAATAATTAAAATTGATTTATGTTTATTAAAAATTATTTTTCTAAAAAATTGTAACAAATTTTAAAAAATTAAAAATTAAAAATAAAATATTATATAAATATAATATATAAAAAAAATTTATGAGTGAATTTCTTTAATTAATTTAACATGATAAGAAAAGGTTAAAGAGATTTGTTGTTCCAAGTCCAGTTGAGAAAATGTGTAATATTGATGTTAACCTATTTTTTTATTTCAAAATATTAATTTTATTAATTTTTAATAAAAATATTAAATTTTAATTTTCTATTTAAAGATATAAATTTTAAATTTTTATTTAAAAATATCAATTTTTTATTTTTTATATAAAAATATTAACTTTTTTGAAGAGATTCGTTTATCACAATAGCATAACTATTTAATTAATCATTAAAAAGAAAAGGTTAAAAAATGATACTTTTAAATAAAAATTAAAAATTAACATTTTTAAATAAAATAATTAAAAATTATTATTTAAAAAAAACTATTAAAATTAATATTTTTAAAGAAAAAGTATAAAATTAACATTTTTATTTGTACGAAAAAGTTTGTTCCCGTGTCCAACCGGTTACTTTTCTATCGCATTTAGAGTAAGACGACGTGGCCAAATGAATAGGCAAGTGTCTGTTGGCGAGTGCAAGTGGCGACTGCCCTTAGCTCTATTCAAGTTGACTTGTAAGTCTTACACTCTTGCATAGATTGGAATTATAATGATTTTTTATGATCCTTGATAACATGAGCAATGCTAGGGGCACTCGCCTCCTGCACTCTCCGGCTAACACTTTCTCTTTTACTGGGCCACGTTATTTTGGTTCCCCATGAGCTTGCGCTGAATGCTTAAAGAAGCTTACGTGGCCCAATGAAAGGGGAAGTGTTGGCCGGAGAGTGCAAAAAGCGAGTGCCCCTAGCACTGCTGCTCTGATAACATTATAATCTTGTACACTGATTATGGAGATTAAAATAAATAATTTATTTATTTCGTTGTATGGTTGCGTTCTAAATTTCACATACGTGGATCCTTAAATTTTAACAAAGCAGTGTCTCTGAAACATGGTAGGAAGAGAAATTACCATACTTCAAGGAGAGTACTCAGCTTGCCTCTGGATGATTGTGGTGGAGGTGCTTGGAACTGTGGAAATGCTTGGTACTGTGGAGGTAGCATTACTTGGGGTCCTTGATAATACCGTCACCAAAAATTAAAAATACCAAAATTTACAGAATTAATCAGTGCCCAAAATGGAAACTTTAGAGCAGAAGAAAGTAAGGCCCATAAAAACCCAGAAATTCTTAACAACAGAGAACCCCATATGCAAATCATGACAGCTGAACAATTATAAATCTAAAAAAGCATCCTAATTTGAAAAATCTACAGCGCATTCCCTGAGAAAAAAGCGATTTTTTTTAACAACAATAATTAAACTAAAAAACAGGGGTTCATCAATTGCAATGCCAAATCTGAAGAAATAACATCAGAGAGGCAAAATTAAGAATCAAAGAGAAAAGGGGAATGAAGGGGAATGAATTACCTTCAGCAGGGTAAGGTTGAGCAGGGTTGGGTTGAGCAGGGTAAGGTTGAGCAGGGTTGGGTTGAGCAGGGTAAGGTTGAGCAGGGTTGGGTTGAGCAGGGTAAGGTTGAGCAGGGTAGGGTTGAGCAGGGTAAGGTTGAGCAGGGTAAGGTTGAGCAGGTTTAGATTGAGGACGCATAGGGTGACTCATTTCTGCAGCCGAAAAGAACACAGAGAACAGAGAGCCAAACCTTCTGCTGGGAATTTATGCAGAATTGAGAACACGTGTTTTGGTCGAAACAGCAAAGGAGACGCCTTTTTTTTGTTTTTTCTTTTTGGTACATGCAAAGGAGACGCCTTTGATAACTTTTCTTTGTAGCAGGAAACTTTCTACGTGCCTAATATTGAGCTGGCGTTCTTTAATTGAAATAAAAAAATGTATTTTATTATAAAATACCTAAATTACCCTTCACCCTTTTTAAATTTCTCAAACTTACCATTTCCTTTTGTTAGAACATTTCCTCACTAACCAAACATAGGAAAATTAAAATAAGAGAAAAGAGCACCTAGAAAACTTTGGGGCCTTGAAAAGGAGATGAATTCCAAAGGAGGAGATTGGGTTTCGGTAATGTTGGGAATGGGCTCAACATCCGATTCAGGTCATATACAATAGTTCCAGTTATATATTCGTGAGGTAAAAATGAAGAGGCATAACACGTGAATCAATCGGATTCATACACATATAAATTTTTGTCAATAAATAAAGTTATAAATACCTTTTAATTATATCTATGTAAAGTATTAACTTCATTAGGCTTCTCTTTTTGCAATTGCGTTGAGAGTTTTTTTTCTTTAGAACTCAAAATATTACTAATTTGAGCGTCAGATAGTTTTTCTCGAAGAAACATCTTCCGGATTTTCTAGTGTTGAAGATGTCTGCCATTTGAGTTGTACGGAAGGACCGTGAAGCTACCCAAACAGGTAAGAACTTGTCTTCGAAGGATCTAAGGTCCACGCTAATTAAGCAGCTTCAATTCGACGGAATCGGGGACCTGGCTGACATCCCCATCATCACGAAAGAAAATTCCAATTTTTTAGAGGTCTAAGTCACCAAAATAGCATCTACAAAATTAGAGGTGGCCTCCATTTTTTAACTTGGTCCCTTTCCTCCGGCTATTAATTCTTTCTTAATGCATGTTAATGGCAATTTGATGCATGCTTAGTTTTACTCCGTGATTTTTGGCATAAATGATCTTCCATGTGTCTAGATTAAATCTGCAATTTTTGGTTGGAGAGACCCGATACATGTAGGCACGAGCGGCGTCTGACGAAGGCGCGGCTTGGTGGCTGTGTTCTCTGAATGCTAAGGTGCAGGTTGCCGTGCAGGGTTGTCAAGGCGAGTGGCCAAGTTTAGCAGTTTAAAGACCTAATATAAAACGAGTCATAAACCGACCAGACCCACGTAGGCGACTCCGGGCTCCGATTATGGTATCGTTTAGTGCCCTACGTTCACCGACTGCCCGGGAGCAGGTTTCCCGTGAATCTAGGCCATGACAAATTAGCAATCGTACTGTTTCAACTTTTTTTTGTTGCCAGAATAATTTCTCGGTTCGAAAATGAATTAAATCCATGAATA